TGCAAGGCGGTGTAGTGGCCCTCTCTTTCCTTGGATTTGACAATCATGTCGTCCACGTACACCTCAACCTCTTTATGGATCATATCATGCAATATTGTGGTTACAGCCCGTTGATACGTAGCTTCAGCATTCTTCAACCCAAACGGCATCACTCTGTAGCAGTAAGTCCCCCATGGGGTGGTGAAAGCAGTCTTCTCCCGATCTTCGGGTGCTATCACTATCTGATTGTAGCCTGAGAAACCATCTATAAACGAGAGCAAAGCATGCCCAGCTGTAAAATCCACCAACTCATCAATATGTGGCAAGGGAAAGTCGTCCTTCGGACTAGCTCTATTCAAATCCCTGAAATCCACTCATACTCGAATCTTGCCATCCTTCTTCGGCACTGGAACAATGTTGGCCAACCAAGTCGGGTATTCGGATACTAACAGGAAGCCTGCGTCGAGGCATTTGCTTGGTGGCCTCTTCCTTAATTTTGAGAGCCCAGTCCGGGCGAATCCTTCTGAGTTTCTGTTTGACAGGTCGGGCCTTGGGGTCAAGAGGGATCCGGTGCTGTACAATCTCAGGATCGATTCCAGGCATGTCTTCGTAGGACCACGTGAAAATATTTTTGAAATCTTTTAATAAAGCAACTAAGCGCTCGCGTTCTTCCGAAAACAACGTGGACCCGATCTGGACCAGCCGCTGGTCCTCCTCAGTACCTACATTCACAGTAGTGATTTCATCCATTAAGGGTTTAACAAATCTTTCATGCTCTTGATTAATTAATCGTTGCAAAACCGGAGGAATTTCTTCCTCGTCGTTTTCATCAAAATTTTGAAAATCCTGATTTAAGAAATAAATCAAAGGCATAGAAAAATACTCAGAAACCACATCCACATCATTCTCATTAAATACTTCCAAGCCATCCGATTCTTCTATTACAACAGACTCAAAAGAGAAAGAAAATGACGACCAAGACAGGACTGTGGCATCCGGGTTATCACCCCTAGGAATACCGGACTCAGACTCAGTCGAGCTGGAACCTGATTCTGACTCACAAGACTCGGTGGAATCAGATTCCGGCTCACTACTTGACCCGGTGCTGCTTGATAAAAATCCTTCTTCGTATTGCCAAACGAGAGAGGGTGCGATGGATGTATCCAAAATAGTTGATGGTAGGCCCGCAGCTGTTTCATTCTTGATCATGCATACCGAGAAGTTATCCCCCAAGCACTTCTGTACGATCGGAGGATCTGAAAGTAGACAAGCCAGGGCTACCCCCATTTCAATTTCAACGCCTTCAGAATCCACTTCCTTACACTGCTCAACCTCAGCTGATAGGTCTGTCTGCCCTTCGGCAACGTCATCCCCGGATATTTGCAGGTCGAAGAAGATCTCGAAACCTGGCACCCGTTTCTTTTCCGCGCTCAGCCATGGCTCTGGGAAGCCGCAAAATGGAAAATCCTCCCCCTCCCGGACGAAGCGTCCGTTTAGGGTACCTTGAATGGGCCTATGCATCAACTCAAAAGGCTTCCCAGCCTGCTTTGCTCTGGCTCTTCTAGCCATTTCCTTTCCCTTCCTTATCCAGCCCTCTTTGGTGGGTAGATAACCCAATCCAAAGGTATGAGGGTTGTGTGGCACTTCGGCCAATGCTGCGACGCCTTTCCGGCCGCTCTTTCCCAATCCCATCCCAAGGATATGTTGAAGCTTGTTCATGAGGTATACCGCTTGGGCACTGACATATACCCCCTCGTTAGCGGCCATGATGTCCTGTACAACCCGAGCCTCAGCAAGGGTGAAACCTGACATAAACACGTCCTCCATGCCGTGCTCAATTCCAAAACTGGCGTAGATACTTCCAGCGGTGGATGGATCGATGAATTCCCAAAAACAATAGCTACTCCCTTTCCATAGGGGTATTTCACCATTTGATGCAAGGTAGAAGAGACTGCCTTGACTTGATGCAGCCACGGCCGCCCCAAGAGTAGATTGAAAGTGGCGGGAACCTCTAGGATGTGAAAGTCAATTTCATACTGCCCTGGCCCAATCTTGGTCTGGATCTTCGCTGTTCCCATGACTTCTCGGCTTGTGTTGTCATACGCCCGAATCACCTGGGTTGTTGGCACAAAGTCTGCGATTTTCAAACCGATCGCATAGGCTGTCCTTGCCGGGCAGACGTTGATGGTGGACCCTGTGTCAACAAGGACCATCGATATCCATTTATTCCTACACTCCACAGAGATGTAGAGTGGCTTGTTATGGTTTGCCCCCTCAGGTGGTAATTACTTGTCGAAAAATGTCAGCATCGGGGTATCTCCTCCCGGAAAAACCAATCCAACCAACTGCTCCAGCGTAGTCTCTATCGAGAGTTTGGCCTTGTCCATGGCTGAAAGGACAGCCTGTCTGTAATGAAATTGATTACAAACATGTGGTCTACGCAAGTAACGTTTATGAGCCCAAAACATGCACAAATGAGACACAAAGGGAGAGGGGTGTCCCTCCCCTATACAAGATTTCAAACCATCTTCTTCACCACTGAAAATCCACTGGATTTCAGTGGTGAGAAGGCTAATACAACAAAGCAAATAAGGCTTAAAGAAAAAGACACCAAAAGGGGCCAAAAGAGACCTAAGAGGGGGATTTCGACCCCCAATGCCAAAACACCCTTAATGAAAGTTCTTAATCATGAAAATATAAGACTTTTTTTTCATTATACACAAAGCTCAAATCAATATGCAAGATAGGTCAAAAGCCAATATAAGATTGGGGAAAATAAAGCAAGAAACTCACCCTTGAAGAACACTTCAAGAACAGTTGGTCCAGCCACTTTTTTCTGACCAAAATCAGTCCAAAACCTTAAGAATCAACCCTCAATGTCTCTCAAGCTCGAAACAAGGTGTGGTGGTGTGTGTCTTAGTGCAAAACTAAGGTAAATGCACTTTTAGGCCACAAAACACACACAAGGGAGGAGAGAGAGTAAAATATATAGAGAGAGGGTGTATATTTCAGATATATATATGTATAAGCTCTGGTTTTTCTTTCAAAACCACCAACCCTTGACAAAGGCAGAAGATGGGTCCTTATATAGGCAAAGGGAAATGGTTTAAGCTTCTTAAAGAAGCTAAGTGAAAGGGGCAAAGGGGGCAAAGGAGTCAAGGCTTCTTGAGGAAGCTAGGACAGCTGGCCAAGCTTCCTCAAGAAGCTTGGCCAAAGGGTTCAACCTTCTTGAAGGAAAAGGGGTGCAAAGACTCAAAACAGCCACTTCATGCACGGGGAGGAGTGTTGGTGCATTCCAGCCGGCACAACTGGCATGCACCAAGTCTGAAGGGTACAAAAGAGTCACACCAGCCAGCAAAAAAAAGGTCACTGGCCAAAACAAAGTGCCGGTTGGCAAAATATAGTGCCGACCGGCCATTGGTTTTAAGAAACCATTGCAGGTGGCACCAATAAATGACCGGTGATGTGAGGGGACAGCCGGTGGGGTGTGGGAATGGCCAACAAGCCATTCCCTGCCTTTCAAGGCGAAAACACAAGTGTTTGGTGCAAAACCAGACACCGAAAAGTCGAGTGGAGAGATCTTGAGGCGAGGCGCGCAGCCGAGACCTCCGGGAACTCGACACGAACACAAGCACGGATGATCACCGAGTGTTCCAACGGTGACGTCCAAGTCTTGAGGACAGTCAAAAATGGGGTGTCTACAGATGTATACTCTTTAAACCATGAGTTGAATACTCAATCAAAACATCAAAAAAAAAAACTAGCAAAATATCTCCAGATATAAACCTCAGAATCCAAAAAGAAGGTCTGGAGGACTTGTGCAAGTTTTGAGAGAAAACCAACTACTTATAGAAAACCAAAGTAATCCTAGTTTTGGAAGAAAATCAATTCCTTATAAAAATCCACGAATCTGTGTTCGCGCGGTCCGTTTGAGCGTGGGAATTCCCGCTCGAGCGAAGGCTTCAAAATTATGTGATTCATATAGGCTTCACGCTCGAGCGGAAGTTCCCACGCTCGAGCGGAGAATCACACCATCCAGTACTTTTTCAGGCGAAACAGAGATTCTGTGAGCTTGCAATCCCCGCTCGAGCGTCCTTTGTCCTGCTCGTGCGGGACGACCAAAATTGGAAAATCTGGAACACTAGATCCTGTAACAACCTCAATTTTGATCTGTGGAAATTGACAAAGGCACGATTCGGGTTGGATTCGCATCTAATAAACTCATAACTTCATTGAAATAAAATGTGCGAAAATAAATACAACTGAAAAGAGTTTTGTCAAACGGAGTTGTCAAAATTAAAACCTAATACTAACTTAAAATAATTTTCAAGCTGAATGATCTCAAATGACAACTCTCTAATAGTTTCCATTATTCACACATTGAACTTGATCAATCACGCCCTCCCAAAAGAGGAAATTAAGGGAAAAAGAAGTTGATCAATTAATGATTGGGAGCTGGAATACAAAAAGTCTCTTTTTCTTCTTTCATTTTTGTTTTTTAAAGTGAAAACATCTCTATTGGTTGGATTAATACTACCACCAATCAGCATGAAGATGCTGCAAAAAAAATTATATGTCTGAATGGAAGTTTCAGCCATAGGAATTTCCACACCAAGCCAAAAGGAGTCCTTTCAGAAGAAATAAATTGGCGTATTTTATGTTACAACGATGAACAGTCACCCAATGGATTGAGGATCACAACGACCCTCAACTTTTAAACTTATAGGGACTTTGTTTTTAAAACTAAAAATAATTTCTCGTGCACAAAATAGTATCTGGATAACAGGTAGAGATCCTGATTCTGGGTCGTGCACAAAATATTTGCATTGTGCTTACTCATGATGCTGATTTTTTATCTTGATTAATAGATAGTGGTGTTAACTTATTGTAGCAATGACTTTTTGTACATTACAAATTTTTATCGAGACCATTTGAAATATACAAGCCAGTTTTGTTTTGATTTGCCGGCTTTATTTCAGAATTTGGAAGTGTTTTTAGTTCCTTCATTGTTACATCTATAGGAGATGCTTGCAATAAGAATTGAAAGTACCAAGTTGTTTATGAATGCAAATGATATGTATTCTGTGGTTGCCAAAGTGCTAGTTTATATGGTGATATAAACTCCATCCTTTGCAATTGCTGTAAATTAACCTGGTTGATGCTTATGGATAAAACACAATAGACACAGTGCAGTTGACAAGATTTCCTTCTTTAATAGCGGTATCACTGCCAAAGACAACAATCTCTACATTCTCATTCTCAAGATTCAATGCTATTTCTTTCACACGGCTGGCAAATTCAACCATTTTTTCACTGTGAATCTCATTCAATCCATAAACATGTGCAATCCCTGAAAAACCCTGTAATTCACTATGGTGTAGTTCTTTTCATAGTCTCTCTTCCAGATCAGGGTGTGTTGATGGTGGGGGGAGTTTGGTGGCAGAGGTGGTGGTTTGAAGGGAGATGGCTTAGGGTTTCAAGGGTGGTAGGGAAGGGAGGAGCGGGGGTTGGGGAGAGAAGGGGTGGGGGGCATTAGGGAGGCGAGAAGCAAACAGGTAGAGAGGCGAGAGGTTTGGCCGGGTGCACCAACTGCCTTGTGAGTAGCGGTGATTTATGCAGTGCTTTATATGGTAGAACAATGTTACAATGATTATCTATTTTTATTTTCTTTTTTTATCGCATGTGATGTGTCAATGTAGTTGTCAACATTTGATTGAAGATATACATTATCGGTGAGACGTATTACATCAAAATTGTAGTGACAAGCATGATGAATATGGTATAAAAAATTGATGAGTGTAATCTTATCATATATGACATAGTATTGTTGATTTATTTTTTATTTCATGCTTTTTTTTCTTCTTTTTTCTTTTTTTCTTTTTTCAAATCTCATAATTCTCATGACAAATTTTAGGTCTAAACACAGCCAACAAAATAAATAAATACATAAATAATAATAAATGAGGTTCAAGTGAAATCCTTAGCTTTGGCTTCCAAACGCACCTTTTGGCAGCATGCATATATACCACACCATTATAATAACGATTAGGGTAATGCCATATAAATTAATAAATTATACAGTATATTTTTTTATTATTTGCATGAGATGTTCCTATCATTTTGAAGTGATTAATGTTATAAATTCTAAAATCATATCAAATTTGTAAATTAATTTGAGTAATGTCATGACGATTAAATTTACTTACTATCAAATATTCATGCCATCTTCCATGTTCCTCGGTACAAAGCTTTTAATGGTAACTTAAAAGAAATAAGCCACACTTTTTTAGCAGTTACATAATACAAAGATACAAAATTAGAACACAAATACATACATAGACACAAGAGATCTGATTTGACCTTACGATCCCAATTTCGTAAGCCTCATTTCAAATCCCATGTGTTAAAGAAGCACATAACATATAACAAACTTGGTTGATTACTTAATCAAAAGGAGAGAGAGCATATGATAAGAAAGTTTACAAGTTATTACTAATTAAATAATAAAGGTACAAACTCATAACTCATGTAGTTGAGTTCACACTTAAAAGGAATCTGAATTACGTATTATTTTTTTTTGAGTATTTTTCTTTGCACGAATTCTAAGTCTCTAGTAGCTTTTCTATATAAAAGGCTTAAAAAGGAGGTGGTGTAAGGAAATTAAGGAATGTTTGGGAAATGGAAAGGAGGGAGAGGAGGGAGCAGAGAGCTTGTAGGAAGTGGGGGAATTCCAGGGATTTGTGGAATTTGAGGAATGGGAGGGGCAAATGGAATTTGAGGAATGGGAGGTGCTAATGGAATGTCAAATGGCAGCAAATTCTTCATCTCATCATAATTTTATAATTTTATTAAAAAGTTGAAGTCATAATTTTACAGATACAAAAAAATCAATCATATAACTTAGCATATAAAATATAAATAAAGCAGTCTCTTTTAAGTGATGGAGCTCCTTAGTGAAGTATATGTATGACTATCAATATTTATGAATAATGCTATGCAAAAAAAAAAAAAAAAAAAAAAATCATTTTAAAATTTAAATTTTGCAATTAAAAACTTTTTTAAAAATATTTTTTTGAAAAAAATTGTTTTGTGTTACCCATTTCTTTATCACCGTTTGCATGACTGCCTATATGAATTATTTTTATTATTTTATTTGGAGATAATTATTAACAAAATAATAAAAGTGAATAATATTTAATGGGTGTTTGGGAAGTGAATTTTTATGTAGGTTTTTTTAGTTGTAGGATATTATTGTAGAATTATTTTATTTTATTATTTTTTTTTTTTTGTGTTTGGGAAGATAGTTGGGTTTTTTTGTGGTTGGATGTGATTTTTGTGAGAGAAAAAGTGAAATGATTATGAGGTTGGATGTGATATTTTGTTTGAATGTGTTTTTTTTTTTGTTTTGAAAGAGAGAATTGCTAACCAAAATGTGAGTGGATGCATCAAGAAATTCACATCCTACTAACAAATACAAACCACTTTGATATATATATACATACACATTTAAAGAAGATCCACGTACTCCATGAAATTTGAAATGTGCATCTCTGTCGAGTTGAGACAGCATTACCGACTACATAGCGCTAAATACAGTGCTTGAGAAAATTTGCATGGATCTATTTGCTGCAGCACAAGTGTGGCTTCATTTAACTGAAGATTGGAACTTCGGCATCACCGGTTGAACTTCTGTGTGGTAATGCAATGAGGTTGTTGTGGCTGATTCAAGCTGTAGTTGCACTGCTTGGTTGTTCCCTTAGTTTTCGTGTCCTCCAACCTGAGAGAATAAAATTAGCCTTGTGAATATCTGTCGTTGCGAAACAAGACACCAACACCATTGTTCTCGATGAATGGAAACTTCATCATTTGACATGTATAAAAATGCAAAACCCTACACGCACAGAAAAGTTTGTGTGCACAAACAGCAGCATTTGTACATTTTGTGAGACATCGGTGGAACTGTG